TGGGAAGATCCCACATGCTGAGGAGCAACTAAAGTGCCTGCACCACACCTATTGAGCCTGTGCTCTAGAGCCTGGCAGCTGCAACTAATGAGCCCACGTGAGGCAACTACTGAAGCCCGTGCACCTTAGAGCCTGTGCTGCACAACAAGAGAAGTCACTGCAATGAGAAGCCCATGCACTGCAACTAGAAAGTAGCCTGTTCTTCACAACTAGAGAAAAACCCATGCTGCAATGAAGACCCAGCACCGCCAAAAATAGATAAAATTTTAAAAGAGCAATGTTTTACATGGGAAAAAATATGTATGTGTCTTTCCACATAGATTGTAGGCCCTTTGAAGATCAGGATTCTGTTTATTCTATTTATTTCCCCACAGTTTCAGTCATATTGTTGAATTGAATAAAGGTTTGCATAAAAGATAGTAAGTTAGTGCAAAATTGTGGTCCATTGTTGAAATTTGTTGTTTGATATTGGAATACATTCTAAATAAATGTGGTTATGTTATAGATATCATTTTAATGTGCATTTCTTGCATTAATTTTTTTTTTTTCTAATGATTTGTTAGGTTGGGGAAAAAGTAATTGTGGTTTCAGACCATGGCTTTTAAATCATTGTAACTAGGCTCAAACACATTTTTATTAATCAAAATAAGAACAATTATAATCAACACATTTTTGCTAACGAGAAATATGTTTATTCCTATAGCATAAAAATCTGTGCTTTGGGCTTCAATGAACTCTTGGAAAGCATTTTCTGCATTTTGCTGGTCATGGAAGCATTTTTCCCTGCAAAAAGTTGTCAAGATGCTTGAAGTGGTAGTTGGTGAGAGGTCAGGTGAATATAGCAGGTGAGGCAAAAGTTCATAGCCCAGTTCATTCAACTTTTGAAGCATTGGTTGTGTGATGTGTGGTTGGGCATGGTTGTGGAGAAAAATTGGACCCTTTTTGTTTACCAGTCCTGGCTGCAGGCATTGGAGTTTTTGGTACATCACATCAATTTGCTGAGCATACTTCTCAGATGTAATGATTTTGCCAGGATTCAGAAAGCTGTAGTGGCTCAGATGGGCAGCAGACCACCAAACAGTGACCATGACCTTTTCTGGTGCAAATTTCACTTTGGGAAGTGCTTTGGAGCTTCTTCTCGGTCCAACCACTGAGATGGTTGTTGCCGGTTGTCATATATATTCCACTTCTCAGCACACATTGCAATCTGATGGAAAAATGGTCTGTTGTTGTTGCATAGAATAAGAGAAGACAGCACTTCAAAATGACAGTTTTCTTGATTTTCGGTCATCTCATGAGGGACTCACATAACTGAGCTTTTTCACCTTTCCAATTTGCTTCAAATGCCAAATGACCATAGAATGATCGACGTTGGGTTTTTCAGCAACTTCTTGTGTAGTTGTAAGAGGATCAGCTTTGATCTTGGTTCTCAATTGGTCATTGTCACCTTCTAGTTGTCGGCCACTGTGCTGCTCCTCTTCAAGGCTCTTGTCTCCTTTGCAAAACTTCTTGAACCACTACTGCTCTGTACATTTCGTTAGGTGATCCTGGGTCAAATGCATTGTTGATGTAGTGAGTTGTGTCAACCATTTTGTAGTTGAGTAAGAAAATTGCTTGAGTTTGCTTTTTGTCTAACATTATTTCCTTAGTCTAAAATAAATATAAAATACACAGCAAGTAATAAGTTATTAGCAAAAAACAAATCGGGAAACACATTAAAATGATGTATAACATAACCAAATTTATTTAAGAATGTATTCCAATATTGAATAGCAAAGTTCAACAATGCAAAGCCGCAATTACTTCTGCATCAACCTAATACTTTCTGTTTATTTAATATTTGTATTTATTATATACTTATAATTATGGCAATGATGTTAGAAAGCAAATTAGAATGATTTTCTTATTTGAGTTCAAAATGGGTTGTAAAGCAGTGGAGATGACTCAAAACAACAACGCATTTGCCCAGAAATACCAGTGCAGTGGTGGTTAAAGGAGTTTTGCAAACGGGCCAAGAGCCTTGAAAGAAGGAGCAGAGTGGTCAGCAGTCGGAAGGTGACAATGACCAATTAAGAACCATTATCGAAGCTGATCCTCTTACAACTACACAAGAAGTTGCTGAAGAACCCAATGTTGATCATTCTATGGTCATTTGGCATTTGAAGCAAATTGGAAAGGTGAAAAAGCTCAGTTATGTGAGTCCCTCATGAGATGACCGAAAATCAAGAAAACTGTCATTTTGAAGTGCTGTCTTCTCTTATTCTATGCAACAACAACAGACCATTTTTCCATCAGATTGCAATGTGTGCTGAAAAGTGGAATATATACGACAACCGGCAACAACCATCTCAGTGGTTGGACCAAGAAGAAGCTCCAAAGCACTTCCCAAAGTGAAATTTGCACCAGAAAAGGTCATGGTCACTGTTTGGTGGTCTGCTGCCCATCTGAGCCACTACAGCTTTCTGAATCCTGGCCAAACCATTACATCTGAGAAGTATGCTCAGCAAATCGATGAGATGCACTGAAGACTGCAGTGCCTGCAGCCAGCATTGGTGAACCGAAAGGGCCCAATTCTTCCAGGCCATGACACCTGACCACACATCACACAACCAATGCTTCAAAAGTTGAATGAACTGGTCTATGAACTTTTGCCTCAACCTGACTTCTCGCCAACCACCTACCACTTCTTCAAGCACCTCAATAACTTTTGCAGGGAAAATGCTTCCACAACCAGCAAGATGCAGAATATGCTTTCCAAGAGTTCATCAAATTCTGAAGCACAGATTTTTATGCTACAGGAATAAATAAACTTATTTCTCGTTGGCAAAAGTGTGTTGATTGTAATGGTTCCTATTAATAAAGATGCTTTTGAGCCAAGTTATGGTTTAAAATTCATAGTCTGAAACTGCAGTTACTTTTGTACCAACCTAATATTAACCTAGGAATGGATACAGTGTAGGCCAGGTTTGAAAGGTGTGATTCTTCTAGTAGATATTTTTTTGACATGATGAATGGAGCAGAATTGATGTCTTAGCTTCTGAGCTTTGGGGGAGAACAGTGGTATCCTTGAATTTTGAATTTTTTTTAATTTTGAATTTTACAGAAATTAGTTATTCATGCATGAACGTTTGAATTTCCAATGGGAGAATTGGATTTCACTATGATATTTAATATGTTTTACCTTCTAAAGTTGCTTTATTATTTTATAGTGATCTTGAAGATAATTCTTTTAAACTATGGGCAATGTGTTAACTTGATTTAGCATGTTGTAATGGACCTAAATAATGTAACTAAATATTTACATATACTGGGATGTAATTAAATAATGACATACACTGTCAGCACTTGGATGGCATCCATCCAAGAGTTTATAGAAACTGGAGGGTAAAATTATGCAACAGTTGACCGAGATGTATAGTCCACTAGGCTCATTGTTGGAGAAGTATTGCAAGACTTCTGATTTATGGCTCAGAAAAGGCATAGGAATTGGTAAAAGTCCAAAGATGTATAACCACAGTAATCAGATGTAGTAGAAGGAGTTTGTAGGAATAGATTGGATTGTTTAGTCATGGTCTGCCAAAACAGAAGGGTAACCCTTAAAGTTTAGGGGAAAAAATTATACAAAGAAGATAGCAAGGTTATATAATTCATTACTTCTCAGACTGTAAATAGGGTTAAAAAGTAGTTAGACTCATTAGAGGAGGAGAAGTCTGTAATAAGATTAATGATACCTATGAGGATTAGTGTTAGCCTTTTGTGCTTGAGGTCACAGGAGACAACCTTTCTCCCCCCAAACACCAGTCATTGTTCGATGGACAGACATATCACGTAACTCATGGAAGTGACCCAGTATGGCCAACCATAAGGGTTTTCTGTGGCAGCCTATTCTTTGCTAGCTGACTTTTTGGTTCACCTGATGGATAATATACAGTCACAAAAGCTGTTTATCAGTTAAATTAATCACCTGATTCTGGAAACCATGATATCGTTGCATATAGAATAATATATATGATGATACTTTGGCACAGTTGACTGAATTTCACTTTCTAGGCCTTAGTGTAAGGCTCTTCGACCCATGAAACAATTTAGTATGATAAGCCTACTCCCTATTGCCACTGTCTTTGCTTGTTGACTGACAAGGCAAACAAGGACAAATAAAAATTTAAGCTCACTGTCCTGACGTGTCTTTCATACTGATGAACAGACTGGTGAGTCAGATGACTAGTAACACAATTGTGCTGCTAATAAAAAGTGGAGTCAACTGCTTCTCATTATTCGCCCACTCAACTCTGATGGCACTTAATACTAATGAGTAATCTAGTGCCAGGTGCCAGGATTAAAGCTTTGGTTGGATGGTAATCCTTTTGTCTATAATAGTGAAATGAAGTCACATTTCTAAATGTGTCTGACAGCCTTAGGGTAGGTTTGCTGATAACTAATCACAGCTAAATATTTCTTTCCATTATGGAAAATTTTTGACCCTTGATATAGTAGTGGTTCATAATAACCTTGAACAAAATAGTTGAACAAACACTTAATGCTTTTTTTAAATATGACTACCATTTGGGGAGAGGAGAGCTATAGCAAGGCCCATAGTCTTATCTGAAACTGCTGGGATCAAATGCATATTACAATTCAGAATTTTTAGGACTTTAGAAAGATGATAATACCATATATAACCCCCAGGTACGTCTGGAGCAGCACCTTCTAGTACAACACATATTTCTGCAGCAAAAGGTATGAGTATTCATACTGAGTGGGACCAGTAAACTCTAAATAATTTCATGCCAGTTCAAGTCAGATTTAATCATCAAGTGAGTTTTTTAAATTTTTGGAATTTGGAATTGAGGATGAGGGATTGTGGTTCTGTACTGAAATTGATCAAGCAGTATCTCTAGTTGACAGAAAAAAATGGAGCTAGATGAATAAAAGTAATTTCAAGATATCGTTGGTTGACGAAGCAGAGTGTAATTAATGCCAGAATATTTCTGGGTTTCTAGGATTTGTACTGTGTTCGCAGTGACCTGGGGAACCTGCTCAAAGCCCTGGGTCGCTTGGAAGAAGCCAAGGTAGGTGTTTGATAGAACACATTTAAACATCAGTGTTATGGAAACTTGTACTTTTTGCCAAGTCTTCAACTCTTCATTGAGCTATCTTCACAAAACAGTCCTATGAAACTGAGGAAAACTGACGGCATGAATCGCCTCAGACTAGAGCAGGGCCAGGCTTTGGCATTTCTGTTCTAAATCTGGGGGTAAAGCAAGAACCTGAACATTTTGGAGCCTTTCTGCTGACTAGATCATCTTTATAACAATGGGCTCCGTCATGATCTTGTGTGGGAATAAATAACATTCCATCAAATCTGAGGCTTGCCTGCTGGTGACAAGCAGAGCGCCTGTGATTTGGCTCAAGACTCCTATATGATGCAGGTGCCATTGAAAATGCTGCTCTTCTAAGTCCTTTGTGGCTTGTAAGTGGAGAAGAATTTCATCCAAATGTTACCCTATAATACTGGCATTTAAAGTTCTTATTTAACCTTCCTCCCTTCATCTTCCTCACCCTTTTTACAGTGGAAGAAAGGCTGTTAAATGATTGCAAGTTAATAATTGGAACATCCTCCCCCTTCTTGTCCCACTCCCTCCCCCAAGCTCCTTTTTCCTCTTTTCCAATCCTAGTTGTTTACCTTCTTTTCTTCCTTACTTCCTTCTTTTATTCTTCCCACCCCACCTCCTTAAAAAAAAGTCAGAAGGACAAAGCTGGTTTGTTTGAGAAATGGACTGATCGAAAGAAAACTTGCCAAAGTGGAAAGGTGGCTTTTAGCATTGTGTTTCCAAATAATTAATTTGAACACCAGGTTGGGTTATTAAAGCTTTTGGTATAATTTTAAATTAAATTTGTAAATGAAATTGTCTTGTTACAAGCCACCTTACGCAACCGCGCTGCAGGGGTGAGGAGTGGGGAGAAACCAGAATGCTTCTGAAACTCCCACCTGTTGCTCTGAGCCCCACGCGCATGCTAATACGTGGAGTGTATGCGCAGCGTAGCTGTCTGTTTGCTTCATCCAGGGAGGGACAAGGCTTTTCAGCACTATCTAATGTTAAAAGGCACTAGTTTTAAGTGCATAGCTCATAAATTCTGCTGACACTTTGGATTAACCTTATGTAGGTTTCCAGCTAATGAATTGTAATTGATTTCAGTCTTAGTTGATAAATCTAATTGGTAATTTATAGAACAAATATTTGATAAGCTTCTATTAATTGTCACCCCACCAAGCGGACAGCTAACATGAATTGCACTTCACTGCAGCTTTAGAGATCGGTTTAGGCTGAGACATTGCGCCTGCCTTAGGTTGCTGACTTCTTTATTTCAGAGCTCTGGAGACACCTAGTTTGAAAAATGTTACTCTGTTTTTTTGTGAGAACTTAGTGAACAAGAAAATACTCTTGAGTGAAATGCAATGTATTTCTTTTGTAATCAGTGCATTTGAAAATTCAAGCCAGCATATTCCTAGTAGATGGAAGCAAAATTCAGTTGCCTTTGTAGAAAATAAAGAGCCTTTCTTCCAGCAAAATCCCTGCTGTATGCAATAGCCCTGATTAACCCTCTCCCTTCTGCATGTTTCCCATATTACAGACTTGAGACTGTCCTCATTCCCATATGTAATAGACATCCAAAGAATTTCAATTGCTTTGTTGAACTTTTACTAATGATCTTGTTTTTATTTTCTCTCTTGTTTTTGGTTTTTCACCATTGATATTGTATTTAGAAGGTTTCAGGTGGGTGAAACCTCCTATTCCATGCGTAAGGTGCCTCGCTGAAGGGAGCTCGAGGCCTGGATCTAGGGCAGACACACACCTCCTCCTCTTCCAGCAAGGAACGCACCGAAAAGTCACATGATGAGAAATATGGTAACGGGTTTGTAACTGCCACAGCAAAACAATTTGCCTCCATGCCTGAATCTTCTGTCTTGTGGCTTCAGAAACAGCTTAAAATAATTTTAATACAAGCAAGTTATGTAAGAAAATGTTTTATACTGTAGCCACAATTCTGTCAAAGATAAGTAAAAGTTAATTGATATTAAAAATTATTAGAGATAATTTACTAGTAAAAGCTTCTAACTCTTCTTGTTGTTCATTTTTTCCTTTTTTCTTCTTTGTTTGGATTGCAGCATTCTGCTCTTCTGATGATGCGCTGTGACCCTGCAGTAGCGCAAAGGCTGCGCAGCGTTAATGCGCAATGCGTGCAAATGAGCCCCTGTGAACGGTTGACTAGATGAGTAATCTGATTGACTGGCTCCCTCAGTCCTATTCTGTAGCCTTTTTGGATAAAATTGGGTTTTAACATACCTTGAGTCCAACTAATCTCATTAAGAAAATATTCTCTATGGGCCTGTCTAGTAGATTAATGGATCTGGTTGGCCGTTTGCTGCGTCTAGGGGTGTTCTATGTAGCGCAGCAGTTCGCAGCGATTGCGCAGTGCGATGCTGTTAGGTTGCGCAAGCGATGTTTGCGCTCGCATTACAGGGACCTCAACCTAGGTGCAATCCTGTCATATGAGGTTTCAGCTTCAGTCCCCCTTGGAGACAAGGGCATTGCGAGGATGTGACTGACAGCTTGGCCTTATATCTGCCTTGGCAGAAAAATGTTTTCCTCCTCAGCATAGTTTGATGTTAGTGAGGAACAATATTGTTTATTTAGAGCAGCATTTCCCAAAATGTGTTTTATAAGTATTATCATGAAATGTCCAATAAAAGAGGAATTCCATGATCAACTAAGTTTAGGGAACTCTCTGTATACTGTTAAAGGCTTAGGGAAGTCCTATAGTCAAGAAACCTATTTTCTGTTTTCTTAATTTATTTGATCATGAAATCTTTTTTTCCTGGTAATGACTATTAACACCTTGTAGAACACACTTTGGGAAACTTGGGTAGGGAGGATAGGTGGGAAGAATTTAGCCTTAAGTTGTACCTTCTCGATACCATTTGAAAACAGTAGCAAGAGCTCTTAGGTGTTCAGATAAGAGAAGTCTGGCATAGAGTCTTAAGGCAACTGACTTCCTGGCTAAGTCCCAGTGTAAGGGTTGGTTATTGGTTGGCAGAACTGAACATGGTGGTTTGCACCTGGGTTCTGGTGGCGCAAGCGCAGGAGCAGCCAGCTGTGGCAGCGCATTAGTTTTGGCGCAAGCGAGCCTATGCTGCAGGGTCACTTTTGGCTGGTCAGAGAAGGAATAATGATATCACCTTCTTCCCCCTCCCCCAATCTTTTTTTTTTTCCCTTTACAAATTTTCCCCTTTCCCTTTACCTCCTTCCCCTCCCATCTTCTTCTTTCATTAACCCCTCCTAAGGCATGTTATTTGAAAGCAATTGAGACGCAACCGAACTTTGCTGTAGCTTGGAGTAATCTTGGCTGTGTTTTTAATGCACAAGGGGAGATTTGGCTTGCAATTCATCACTTTGAAAAGGTTAGTCGTTAAATTAATAATTGGTATTTATGAAATACTTATGTATGCAGGGTGTTTCTACTAGAACTGAATAATAGTCCTTTACTTAAGTAGACACGTAATATCTTTCTTTCTCTGACAGTATTGTAGCATTTGCTGGATGGTATATGGCAGTTTCCAGTTTTGCATTGAAAATGTACTTTAGTAGTTAAAAATTGTTTTTTTAAGCTGGCAACTTGAAAAGAGCAGGGTTGTAAAAAAGCAGGGTTTCTTGGTGAAAAGACTGATTGCAGATCTGGGGCAGGAAATGTACAAAATTAATCTGGAGTGCCAGAGTCTGTCATAGCAGAAAGCAAGGAAATTTTGATATATTTTTGTCAAAAGTACTCAGGAGGAAACTGGAAGAGACTTCCACTCTAAAAATGGGTGTTGAGCATCAGTGGGAATAATAACTGAAATATTATTGAAACTTACCAAGTACTTCAAATTCATGGGTTCATAATTATTCTAAGAAGAAATTCATGGGTCATCTTGAGAAGATAAGGACCAACTCATTATGAAAACTTGTTAAAAAATTGTCCTCTCTTGTGTGAACTGGACATCAGGGTAACCCAAGAGTTGATAGGAGAAAGTGTCTCTTTATACAAGTGTTCCAGTTAATAAATGAAGTAGGTTAATTGATAGAATCTGAGTGTCACCAGTAATAAATTTAGGCATTTATCAGTGGCAAAAAAGAGACCCAACCAGACATTTTGTACCTTGTGATAGGAGTAAGTATTGATACTTCCGCCAGCAAAGTAGCCTTGCAAAAAGAGAAAAGAACCCACATCTGATTAAGCTTGTAGTTCCACCAATTTATAGGAAATAACATGAGATGGAAGCATGAACATGTTAAAGACACCATAGGAGTGCAGTCAGCAAATTCAAACTGCAGGAATAAAAATGGATTTAAACTTTTAATTTAAAAGATTAAACTCACATGTTAATTGTATGGGTCTTATTTGGATCCTGAATCAAAGTTAATCAGAAATTTGACCACTGAATGGATACTTGATATTAAGGAATTGCTGTCATTTTTTAGGTATGATATTGGTGTTGTGGTTATGCTAGGAAAAAATATTCCTGTATTGTCCCTGAAATATATTTTGAAATATTTTTGAGAGCACTGAAAATTAGCTTCAAAACAATCTGGGAAGAGGGCAAGTTAGGCTGGAATATAGATTAAATATGATTGAACATGATTTTTTAATTGTTGAATCTGGGTAATGGAGACTTGGGGGTTTGTTATAGTCCTCTGCTTTTGTATATATTTGAAATTTTCCATAATAAAAAGTTAGTGGGTGGACATCTATCACTATAGATAATCTAACTTAAGTGCAACAAAGTTTCCATCTATGAAGAGGAAGTATTCTTAATGAATCTTAAATATATTCAGTTACTTATTACCTTTACCTTTTCAGTGTTTCAGTTCAGGTTTCCACTTTTTACACTATAAGAGTACTTACTGGGACTTCCCTGGTGGTCCAGTGGCTAAGACTCTGTGGTTCCAGTACAAGGGACCTAGGTTTGATTCCTGGTCAGGGAACTAGATTCCATGTGGCTCAACTAAATATCCTGCATGCTGCAGAAGATCAAAGATGCTGAGTGCTGCAACTAAGACCTGGTGCAGCCAGATAAATGAAGTTAAAAAGAAAGAGTACCTACTCTTGCTCAGTGGTTCTCTTTGGTTGCACATGAGGAGCTTATAAAAGATATGGATGTCCTGGCCCCATTTTCATTTTTTGAATTTTTATTTTATTTTACTTTTTGGCTGCACCCTAAGACATGTGGGATCTTGGTTCCCTGATTAGGGATTGAACTGTCTCCCTGCATTTGAAGGCAGAGTCTTAACCACTAGAACTCTGTGAGAAGTCCCCCAGCCCCATTTTCAGAGAATCTGATTTAATTGCCCTGTGATAGAACTCAGGCACCATTTAGGAAGTGTTAGGCACTCCAGTCATGTCCGACTCTTTGTGACCCCATGGGCTGTAGCCCCACCAGGCTCCTCTGTCCATGGAATTCTCCAGGCCAGAATACTGGAGTGGGTTGCCATTTCCTTCTCCAGGGGATATTCCCGCCCCAGGGATTAAACCCTGATCTCCCACATTGCAGGGAGACCTTTTACCAACCGAGCCACCGGGGAAGTCCTACCATTTAGAAGGTGAATTCTGATATACTGCCAGGGTTGAGAATTACTTCTGTGGATATATCTGCTCATATGTTAAGATAGCTTCAGAACTATTTGGATGAGGCCATTTAATGGTTAGCATCCCATTGTAGTAATGTATCTTACTGAGTATATGGCTCTAATTACATATGTTAGTAATGTCTGAGTATACAGTAATAGTTATTGAAGTATGTATTTCCTTTCTCAGAGTTTGCTGCTTCTTTCTGCCATTATTTTTTTAGAAAAGCTAGGCTTCATTAATTGAGAATAAAATAGGGCCAGCTATTACAAGTATTCAGCTCAATAAAATTGGAGCAGACTCAGTTTAAAATTTTTTCCTTCAGGACACATTTTCCTCATATTACATAGGAAGTTATTTTGATAATATTGAGGTTTGTGAATAATGAATGTACTGAAATAAGTGGGTTTTAAAAATGAAAGAAAAAATAATTATACTAGAAAATGTAATGGGAGATCTAAAATTATGTCAGAATTAAGAATTGTAATTGGGAAGTGAGTCTGAAATTCTAACTTGCTCTAAGTAACTGTCTTGCAATTTTTAGGCTGTCACCCTTGACCCCAATTTTCTGGATGCTTATATCAATTTAGGAAATGTCTTGAAAGAGGCACGGATTTTTGACAGGTGAGAGAATGTTCTATTTGGAGTCTGTTGTATCAACACTTGAGAGTTTGGACTGAAATTATTACAATGGTTCATTGAAATACACTCCTTTTCTACAGTGTTGCTTTCCCTGATCAGGTCTGCTGTGTTGCCTTTTATTATTGCCTGACTTTGCATTGTTGGCTTTTCATGAAGTCACTATCTGTCTCACTAGGAGTTTAGTTGAAATTTCCTTTATTGTAAAACTATTGAAATGGTTATCTTTTAGAAAAAATTATCCCTTCTGCATGGTTCAAAAAGTAAAGTAATTAAAAAATAAAGTAAATCCTGAATTTTAACTTTGTGTTGTTTTCAAAGGGAACCCTGTTTCTTACGTGGGTATAGAAAATTTTTCAGTGTAAAAATACATTTTATAAAGGTGCAATATTGATTTTTGAGATTAAGTATAGTGTGGCATGAATTAATTGTAACAAAGCATCCACTAAAGGTTAGTTATATTGTGTGTGTTTTTTTTTATTTACAGAGCTGTGGCAGCTTACCTTCGTGCTCTAAGCTTGAGTCCAAATCATGCGGTGGTACACGGCAACCTGGCTTGTGTATACTATGAGCAAGGCCTGATAGATCTAGCAATAGACACCTACAGGCGAGCTATTGAACTGCAGCCGCATTTCCCTGATGCTTACTGCAACTTAGCCAATGCTCTCAAACAGAAGGGCAGTGTTGCTGAAGCAGAAGATTGTTATAATACAGCTCTCCGACTGTGTCCCACCCATGCAGACTCTCTGAACAACCTAGCCAATATCAAACGGGAACAGGGAAACATTGAAGAGGCAGTTGGCTTGTATCGTAAAGCATTAGAAGTATGTTGAGGGTGATGTGACTCGGTATTTTGTGTGATAGTAGAGGGAAGGCAGTTAAATCTGCCATGTCATCTACCTCTTTTGTAAAAATAAATAGTGGTTGAATCATTCATTAAACCAATTAATTGAGTACCTAAGGTATGAGTGAGGTCCTGTGTAACATTCAAGAAAGTCCTTAACATTGAGTTTGTTATTTTATGTGTAGATAAGATCTGCATAAAAATTTAAACAGTAAGCAACAGTTCAAGAGGAGTTACCAGTAAGTATATAATTTCAGTGCCTGATGGCTATAATGTTGGTTGGTTAGATGTGGTAGCCATTTCAAAGAGAGAGATGCTAGTGTTACTAGCATGAATTGAGGAGAGGTCTACCTCATTATGTTTTGAAACATGGAGAGGTATAAAATGAAGGGGTAGAATTTGAGCTCTTTGGCTTTGAAGAATGCATAGACTTGGAGAAGGTAGAGAGAAGTATAGGGATATAAAGGTGCTTAAGCCAAGTTCTTGTAAGCTGTTATTGCTGTTTTAGCTAAAGTTATTTTTTTAAACCTCAGTTATCATTTTTCATCTTCATAGGTCTTCCCAGAGTTTGCTGCTGCCCATTCAAATTTAGCAAGTGTATTACAGCAGCAGGGAAAACTGCAGGAAGCTCTGATGCATTATAAGGAGGCAATTCGGTAAGAGACTCCCATCCTTATTTTTTCTTTAAAGGTTTCAAATGCTTGGTGTTTGGCACATTTGATATATGGCACTTTTAGTAACAGCAGACTAAATTAATATTACAGGGGTTAAAGGTTTTGGTACTAGAGAAGTAAAATCTTTGTCCTGTCCTTTAGAATCAGTCCTACTTTTGCTGATGCTTACTCTAATATGGGAAACACTCTAAAGGAGATGCAAGATGTTCAGGGAGCCTTGCAGTGTTATACTCGTGCCGTTCAGATTAACCCTGCATTTGCAGATGCCCACAGTAATCTGGCTTCCATTCACAAGGTACTATTTTTTATATGTATTTTATTATAATATGTGCATCTTAGTATGTAATGTTTTTAATTTTAGGGAACATTTTAACCATCCCACTTTATTTACTTCCAGGATTCAGGGAATATTCCAGAAGCAATTGCTTCTTATCGCACTGCTCTGAAGCTTAAACCTGATTTTCCTGATGCTTACTGTAATTTGGCTCATTGCCTGCAGGTAAAGAATAATGGGCCAGTAACTGGTTTTCAGGGTGGTAATCTCTTTTTGTTATGTGCCATATTAATCCAAGCTTGGTTGGAGACAGTGTTCTCTAATGGGTTATCTGACATTACTTTAGGCCAAAGACACATAAAATGTTAAGTCTTGGAATATGATTTTCTGGATAATATCTTCTTTTTGCCTTCTCTAGATTGTCTGTGACTGGACAGACTATGATGAGCGAATGAAGAAGTTGGTTAGCATTGTGGCTGACCAGTTAGAGAAGAATAGGTTGCCTTCTGTGCATCCTCATCATAGTATGCTATATCCTCTTTCTCATGGCTTCAGGAAAGCTATTGCTGAGAGGCATGGGAACCTCTGCTTGGATAAGGTGCAAGTCTTTTGTTTTAATCTTTTTGTTGTAAAGTAAGACACGGATACAAAAAACTGTGTGAATCAGATTTATGGCTTAGTGAGTTATCATAAGGTGAACACCACCCAAGTTGAGAAATGAAGCTTCGTGAGTGAGCCCAGAAGCTCTTTCCATTGTGTCCTGTCATATTTAGCTGCACCAGGTCTTAGTTGTGGCATGCAGGATCTTCAGTCTTCATTGTGGCATATGCAATCTTCAGTTGCAGTACGCAGGATATAATTCCCTGACCAAGGATCAAACTCAGGCCCTTGGATTGAGAGCATGGAGTCTTAGGCAGTGGACCAGCAAGGAAGTCCCTATCCTATCTTGATCATAATCCCTTCCATTCTATAAGGCAGAATCCTTAACTGAAATACTAGCCGTAGGCAGATGGTGTTTTCCTTTAATTTTAAAATCATAGTTTTTAATAATGTATTTTATACTCACTTTTGAGAATTAGAGCACTACTTGATAAAAGGTGGGAATTTACTTAGCAGAATAGAGTGGAGTGCTAGGTCTAATTCTGTTTTTTGAAAATGTTTCCCTACAGAATTTTCTTCTAAAATGTAGGGTTTGTCATACTCTGTCCACTTTGCTTCCTTCCTATAACTTGTAGACTTCCTTGGGCTATTTCACTGGCCTCAGAAACAGGTCACAGTATGAACCATATTATATAAGTTGCTAAGGTTGCATTGAATTGGCTATATGAATTAAAGAAGTATTCTGGGCACAAAACCATTCCCAGTAGGTGTGCGTTGTGTTTTTAGTCAGTTTTCCTAGGTGAAAGTTTACATATAGACTCAACTTTACTAACAAGCCTTGAATTCCATTCTTAGATTAATGTCCTTCATAAACCACCATATGAGCATCCAAAAGACTTGAAGCTCAGTGATGGTCGACTGCGTGTAGGATACGTGAGTTCTGACTTTGGGAATCATCCTACTTCTCATCTTATGCAGTCTATTCCAGGCATGCACAATCCTGATAAATTTGAGGTAAGACTAGTGTTTCCCTAGAGCCACTATTGTCACCATTATGTGTTAAGCCCAGTGTCTTTTTAGGAAAGATCTGAGCCAAGGTTATTAAATATATACTATGTGCTACCTTTCAGGTATTCTGTTATGCCTTGAGCCCAGATGATGGCACAAACTTCCGAGTGAAGGTGATGGCAGAAGCCAATCATTTCATTGATCTTTCTCAGGTAGGTGTAACTCTTATACTTCAGCTTTTTAATTTTAGCAAATAGTGAATAAAACTGTTGACGTCTAGCTTGTATTTTTCCTGACAAATATTTAACATCAGCTGTTTCATGCCTTTCCTGGAGAAGGGAATAGCAACCCACTCCAGTATTCTTGCCTGGAGAATACCATGGATAGAGGAGCCTGGTGGGTTTGCCCATGGTGTCGCAAAGAGTTGGAAACAACTGAGCGACTAACACACATGCACGCATGCACATGCATACTACATGCCTGTGGGCAGTTGCTTTGATCTTATTTCTTTGATTACTTACATTTATTATGTTACATTTATAATCAGCATGGATTTTGCTGAGGTTGCAAATTAAATAGAAATATGATATATCTATGCTTGGACATAGAACTTCTCTGGGGATTGAGCTAGCACTTGTGACAGTAGATATTTAATATTACCTGAATAAGTTGAACAAAATGGTGGCTTGGAAGAAGAACAAACAGGTCATTTAAAGGGCCTTTGCCTTTAAATCTTTATTTTCTATACTTGGCTCCGTTGCTATTTTCTCTAGGAGCTAAAGTTTTACGATAAATTAAGACTGAAACCTGTGAGGGAATGTTGCTGAAGATATGGACTAGAGTTTTTTCTTACAGGATCTTTTGGCCACTTTGGTGACTAACAGAGGTATGTATGATATATCTAGTAATTCATATAGATGAATCATTGAAGTCCTAGTAGGAGAACTGCAAGACTCTTGTCATTTCATGAATAATTTGTACCCAACATCTTTTGCATTATAGCTATTGCTTTGGACGTATACCTTACCATTTTTGGTGTAGGGTTGGACTCTTCTGTGACTAAGTAGCATACGACCCTCTATCTCTTGAGACCTTTCAGGATTCCCTGCTTATTGACTGAAGTCTAAACTCTAAAAATATATATTTATCTTTTATATATATATTAATTGAAGCATAGTTGACATACAATATTAGTTTCAGGTGTGTGTGCACATGCTAAGTCGCTTTAGTTGTGTCCGACTCTTTGAACCCTATGGACTGTAGCCCACCAGGCTCCTCTGTCCATGGGATTCTCCAGGCAAGAATACTGGAGTGGGTTGCCATTCCCTTCTCCAGGGTATCTTTGCAACCCAGGGATCAAACCTTGCATCTCCTGCATTGGCAGGCGGGTTCTTTACCATTAGCGCCACCTGGGAAAATTTCAGGTGTACTACAGAGTTAATTGATATTTGCACATATTATGAAATCACCATGAAAAGTCTGGTAACTGTCTGTCTCCATACAAAGTTACTACAGTATTATGACCATATTCCTCATGTCATATGTTATATCCCTGTGGCTTGTTTTATACCTGGAGGGGTTTTCTTTTCAGTAATCTTCATATATGTAAACTTCATATATGAAGGCCAGACTCTTCAGAATGGCCTTCACAACCTTTCTGAGTTTAACTGCAACCTTGTTTGCCAGTGCTTTTCACCCACCATTAGCCTTCAGTTATACCCTATAGCAAACAGAAGTGGTCTACCCATTTTTTTAAACCTATTTTTTTCACCTATTATGCCCCCCTCCCTCCTTTCCCTCTGGCAGCCACCTGTTTGTTGTCTGTATCTAGTCTGTTTTCGATTCCACATAAAAGTGAGATTATATGGTATTTCCCTTTGTCTGATTTATTTCACTTAACATAATACCCACAGGTGCATGTTGTTGCAAATGGCAAGATTTCTTTTTTTTTAATGGCTGAGGACTATTCCATTGTGTATATATACCACATCTCTATCCATTCATCCCTTGATGGACACTTAGGTTACTTCCATGTCTTGACAGTTGTAAATACTGCATAAGTAATGCTGCAGTGAACATTGGTGTGCATGTATGAAGTCCAGACTCTTCAGAATGGCCTTCACAACCTTTCTGAGTTTGACTGCAACCTTGTTTGCCAGTACTTTTCACCCACCATTCAGTTCAGTTCAGTTGCTCAGTTGTGTCCAACTCTTTGTGACCCCATCAACCGCAGTACGCCAGGCCTCCATGTCCATCACCAACTCCCGGAGTCCACCCAAACCCATGTCCATTGTCGGTGATGACATCCAACCATTTCATCCTCTGTCGTCCCCTTCTCCTCCTGCCCTCAATCTTTCCCAGCATCAGGGTCTTTTCAAATGAGTTAGCTCTCCTCATCAGGTGGCCAAAGTATTGGAGTTTCAGCTTCAACATCAGTCCTTCCAGTGAACACCCAGGACTGGTCTCCTTTAGGATGNTTGAGCCCAGATGATGGCACAAACTTCCAAGTGAAGGTGATGGCAGAAGCCAATCATTTCATTGATCTTTCTCAGATTCCATGCAATGGAAAAGCAGCTGATCACATCCATCAAGATGGTATACACATCCTTGTAAATATGAATGGTTATACCAAGGGTGCTCGAAATGAACTCTTTGCTCTCAGGCCAGCTCCTATTCAGGTAAAGGAAATAATAATATCAACATTCACTATGTTTATTGGGCTAAAAAGACAGTGATATGTTTTCTCCCCCTCTGGTTAACTGTCCTTTGACACAATAGGATAGACGTGCCTAACTTACGAAAAAAGTGTAGTTCTTGAAAATGCATAGGGACAAAGAATTATAGGTAAGGACACAATGCTAACAGGTACATGTTTATGGAGACATGCAGTTTGTAGTTGATGTAAACAGTTGTTCTGTGTTATAAATTGGAAAAACAGTTTTAACACTTGGAAGTTTAGTCTAAAATATTACTTGATTGCTCTTGGCTAAAGAAGTCCACCCTTGTTTGTTTACTTATTTAATTTTAGACCCTTTTGATGAAGGTTCCTAGTTTTTATCTGACTTTTTTTTTTTCTTCTAGGCAATGTGGCTGGGGTATCCTGGGACTAGTGGCGCACTTTTCATGGATTATATCATCACTGATCAGGAAACTTCACCTGCTGAAGTTGCTGAGCAATATTCTGAGAAGCTGGCTTATATGCCTCATACTTTCTTTATTGGTGATCATGCTAATATGTTCCCTCACCTGAAGGTAGGTAGAAAAACAATGCTATAGGGGAGTTGCAAAGAACTGTAGTCATTTATTTCTTACTACTGTTCCTATGCATCCTAACAGATATGTCTGAAACTTTTTTTTTATTAGAAAAAAGCAGTTATCGATTTTAAGTCCAATGGGCACATTTATGACAATCGGATTGTGCTGAATGGCATCGACCTCAAAGCATTTCTTGATAGTCTACCAGATGTGAAAATTGTAAAGGTCAGAACCTGGTCAATATTGTAATTGAAATAAAGTTATCTGCATTTGGGATCTTTTCCCTAATGATGTATTTTGTGTGTAATTATTTCAAGATGAAATGTCCTGATGGAGGAGACAATGCGGACAGCAGTAATACAGCTCTTAATATGCCTGTCATTCCTATGAATACTATTGCAGAAGCAGTTATTGAAATGATTAACAGAGGACAAATTCAGATAACAATTAATGGATTCAGTATTAGCAATGGACTGGCGACTACCCAGGTAAAAAGAGAATAATAGAATGTACTGTGTACCACCAAGTATACATTTATCTTTTTCAAATCTCATAACTCTAGGAGGTAAGCATCATTATTCCTGTTTTATAGATGAGGAAATGAATTTGGGGGAAACTGGCATCTTATATAGGTTTGTTTGATTTTAAAAGTCGCTTGTATTCAGCCAGCAGATTACTTAATGAGAGTCTTCTGCATTAATACCTTGTTATTCCCTGCCTCTGTGGCTTTACTCTTATCAATGGTGAAATATCTGTAGACATCATACAGTTTCTTGCTTCTGTAACTCATCCTTTCCTCAATTAAATCTTACTCATCTTTTAAGACTTTCAGTTCAGACACCTCCTCCGACAATCTGTTTCTGTCCATATCTGTAACCTCTCCTTCCCTGCTTCATTGGTACCTGTATTCTCTGCTTCTGTAATATTTGGGATATATCTTTACATCCAGCACAACACGTTCTAAGTCCTGGGTTTGAATGTATTTGCCGCTGAATTGAATTACTTTAGAGCCTGTGTCTTAGCCTCCATAATGTAGTATGTGCTGAGTAAATATATTGCTTGTGTACTTGAATAAGTGAATGTGTAGCTCTGTCAAGAGATCATAAGGCAAGGATCTTTGACCTCTTAGGAGTTAAAGGTTTTAGTGGTATAGCAATTTATACAAAGGGTACTTGTAGTGAGTTCAGGTAAGGGAATTAATCACCCATAATGTGTATTGGGCTGAAAAGACAGTGGTGTGTCCCCCCTCCCCCTTCTGGTTAACTGTCCTTTGAAACAATAGGGCAGACATGCCCGACTTAAGGGGAGAAAAGTGTAATTCTTGAAGTGTACAAGGACAAAGAATTTTGAATGTAGGAACACAATGCCCATTTGTATGAGCCGTCCATCACACCTGGAATAGTTACATAACAATGTAAGGTAGTGCCCAGATGTGTGGGAATTGCAAGATAAGAGTATAATTATGTATATAGATGCTCAGAAATAGTGGTGAGGTGAGGCGCTCCTATAGAGATTGTTTGGTAATTGAAGTTTAGTCCTGAAAGGTGAGTGTGATTTAGAAAAGGACATTTCATTCATGAAGAAAAAGACTGAGAAGAAGCTTGCTGTTGGATTTATAGGATTTTGAAGAGAACTTTTGGCTAGAGTGAGATGTTTCATAGTGCAGTCCGCCCGAAATTAAGATAGTGCCCTAACTTTTTTTCCTTTAACTTAATGCATCACAAATATTTTCTCATTGTAGTTTAGTTATATGACTTTTTTTTTCCATTTATTTTTATTAGTTGGAGGCTAATTACTTTACATCATTGCAGTGGTTTTTGTCATACATTGGAATGAATTAACCATGGATTTACATGTATTCCCCATCCCGGTCCCCCCTCCCACCTCCCTCTCCACCCCATCCCTCTGGGTCTTCCCAGTGCACCAGGCCTGAGCACTTGTCT